GGCCTGGGTCCAGATTGCCACCTTGCCAGTCACACTCTGTCAGCCTGTAACCTACTTCATAGGATTGCTGTGAGGATAAAATGGAGCAGAGAGTGATATCAGCTGCTTTGGGTCCATTTGGGAGCAAAAGGCAGGGTATAAATGAAGTAAATAAAACATGAATGAGTGGTTCATTGGGGAGCAGGCAGGGCTTCACTGGATTCAATCTTTAACATAGGCAAAGGAGAGATTCCACAGACACTGAAATAGATGTGCAGTGGTAGAAATCAGGACTACTGTATGTGGGAGATTCTCGCCCCATTGTGATTGGGACATTTAGTCCGGATCCAAGCCAAGATATAGAGTACACTGAAAGAACAGAAAATGCATTCAGAATGTTCTTCCCTTTCGTAAACTTGCTAAGGGTACACCAGTGTAAATTTGCACCTGATCTGAGATTTCATACTACTACATACCCTGCCTTTTGCAGTATGAAGTAAAACAGACACTACTTGCTCCATTCCATCTTTACAGTTTTCATACTTTCCCAACAAAACTGTTATTGATTCCATTACAAAACAGAACTAAGTGTCAGTGTGGGACAGTGATTAGTGTTGAACTAGGAGGCCCAGGTTTAAATTCCCGCTCAGCCATGAAGTTCACTAGTGATCACAGGCCAGTCTCATTTTCTCAGCCTAGCTTATCTGACAGGATGTGAGGATGAAATATGAAATACTCCTGTATGCTGCCCTGTACTCTTGGAGAAAAGGTGGGATAAAATGTGATTGATTGTAAGATGCCACTTTTCTTTTTTCTTTTTTTTTTTAAAAAAAAGAATAATTACAATACTACATAACATTTGTATAACTTGGCCAACAGTGTCTGTCATACGTCTCAAAAACTGAAGGGATATTCAAGGGATTTTTCAGTCAGATTATATTTTTGTCTGACTCTACAGAAAGCCAGTCACATTGTTCAGGAAGCAAGGATGGGGTCAGGAACTATTTACACAAATACCTAAGAGTGACAGTTGCACCATGGAAACCAATTTAAATCAATACTGCTCAGCTCAAGCCAAAGATTTCCTGCACTGCATTACTGAGACACTACTTCTTTGGTAAATGTAAATATGAATACTATATAGGGTCTTCTATCTTGTGATGGTAAAAAGGGGAAATTATCTCTTCTAAAGCCAGTAAAATAACACCGAGAAACCTTGCTTCAGATTAAAATCTAGACATTAGCTAACAACAATCAGAATGTTATCAGAAACTTCTCATTCAAGTCACAAAGAAATATGTAACTATGAGAAACTTATTTGAACAGTGCAATATTTTTACTTTAACATTTCTAGGCTTCCTTCTCTCCATCCTCAGGGAGATCAACCAATTATAACTGTTAACTGTATGCCTTATTCAGGTAATCAAATAACCCTCGTTTTAATACTTTTCAGCAACAGCTGCTATTATTCATCTCTCATTCAATAATAATCAGTGTTGTCAAAATTTGTCTCCTACAAGCTGAGGATAGTCTCATTACTCAAAATGATATGGAAGAAATAGTCAAGATATGACAAAGTAAATTGTGTTTCACCGTATCTTTTTTTTCATCTTCCTGCGGCTGTGGGAACATATAGATCGATACTCTTCAGCATGAGCACTCCACACTGAAATTTTCATTTGTTCCAAACAGCAACAAAAAGACCTTAAGCATGCCCTGTCACTTTTGGTTTAGAAGGAAATGCACTAATAAACTCTTACCCCTGGGTCATCTTTGACAATGGGCAATACTATGCCAGCTCTTATTAAAGGCAATTCATATCAGTGGCCCAAAAATTTCCTTTAAAATTACCATCTTTTGTATCCATGTAGCAGGATGTCAGCTTTAAAGTGCCACCGAGATATAGGACCTGTCACTATAGTTAATTTTCAGCACAGTTTTAACACCAGGGTAGCTCATCCCCCAGGGTACCTTTTTGACTAACGAGGTTTATTTGGTGGTTATCCAGACAAACAAGAAAACATTAGTGCCACATATTGCTTTTCAAATAGAACAACGAGCACTGAACTCTATCTACACAAGCTTTAAACTGATATCCAAAGTGCTAGATAGGAATTCAGCACAGTGGTTAAAAGTAACAGATTGGGGGGGGGGGGAGAGATACATTTGAAAAGCATTTACTGCTGGAGACTGTTCCCCCCACATCTTTAATCCAAAAAACAAGTACAAGGATTGACTGCAACCATGATTCATGGCAGCACAGCTGCAAGGATTAAACATTAATCTCAATCTAGTATTTCAATCCTGCATGTTTAAGATCATTAGGCACGATCTTGGCAGAGCTTGGAAGCTAAGCAGAGTCAGCCATGGTTGGTATTTGGATGGGAGAACATCAAGGAAGTCTGTGGTTGCTTATGCAGAGAAAGGCAGTGGCAAACCAAACCATCTCTGCTCATCTCTTGCCTTGAAAACCCTACGGTCCTGGGGAAGCCATGAATCAGCTATGACTTGACAGCACACAAATATTATTATATTTCTTTTCAGCCTCAGTTGATACCCACACACATGCATGTAAATCACCAATAATGTTTGGGGGAGTGGTGTAGCAATAAACAGGTTGTCATAAACCTTATAAAAATTAGAGAGCTCTAAATCCCTTCTACTAAATTGAGAATAGGATTGCACATGCTGCTTGGCAAACACAATGACAGTATTTTAAGGGAGGTCCCTTTCTAGGTCTCACTGATGTTCTCCAAGACTGCTGGACAGTCAGATAACTTTAAACTTATAATTTATCCAAATCTGATTTTACCCCCCACATAAATCTTTTTTTCACAGTAACAAAGAAACTCTGGAAAGGAAAATGTAGAAATTAACAATTGATTTTAAAAGTAAACAAACATTCTAGTAAATGAAAATGCAAACAAGGTATTTTTATTAAGTATCATTGAGAGTCATGTTTTGTAGCCATCAGCCATACAGTTTCATTTTTGTACGGATTTCTCTTCTTGTATGGTACATTCCTCCTCCTTCTATATCATTTCAGCTCAAGAGATTAGTGAAATATGCTGAAGGTGTGGTCACGTATCATAAGAATATGTGGTTTTAGGAATGAAAAAAAAAATTGTAATGTTACCTCGAACAATAAGCTGAGCGAAGTTAGAGACTCCAGATCCTCTCTCAGACTGAGTAACACAGCGATATAGATCCTGATCCGTTTTTGTCACTTCCCGAAGCTTAAAAGTAGCAGCGAATCGTCTGTGATTTATGTTTTTAGTTTGAGCCACTGGAATATCTTCTCCATTTCGCCTCTGGAAAGAAAGGACCGCAAACAATTCCATTATTTTAAAAAATGCATTTCTGGTCATATAAGGACCCCAAACAATTCCATTATTTTAAAAAATGCATTTCTGGTCATATAACTATTTCAGCAACTTATCAACATTAAAAGCATTACAAAATCTGATTCTTCCTTTTTTTATCCACCCTTCATTGGTTGACACTAGGTAGCACAGCATAAGCCCCACCATATTATCCTTCCTCCAACAGCATTTTTAGATCCCTCGTGAAAAAATAAACTGATGCTGGAGATTATATGACTCTCATGGACAAAAGCCAAGTCCGTCAAGGACATCAGTGAGGAGAGAGACTCAAGTAAAATCACTCCTTGCCCTGCATAGCCTTGAAAACACCATAAGCAGAGCAACTTGTGCCTTCTCACTGCGGAATGTGACTTTTTATCCACTCTCATCCCACAAACACTATCTTCACCTTTCTGGAAGTTAAAAAAGACTGCTGTGTGAAGGAGAACAGTAGCATAATGCACTGGCAGCTGGGAGGATACAACTCAGATCTCTCAGAGAACTTAGCTCGCTGCTGTGCTCACACACTCACTCCCTCTCCTCATGCATGGAGTTTGACTTGAAGGCTTCTTGGTTTGGGGAGTCTTGGAATCAAACAACAATCTGCCCTGACATCAGAATGCAGGCACCTGGGCAAACTGAAGTTGTTTCTTTCCCGCAAACAGGATTCCAAACTGGAATTAAACCTTGTTCAAATGCTGCCCAATACATCTCTTCCCATGTTACAGCACAGCACTTCCCACTTTGTAGAGAAAGATACAGAAGTGCTAGTAAGACACCCATCATCATATGAGTAGATTGTAAGGGGAAGAAAGAGGTTGTAAATTGAAGGCATCCCTGGCAGGACTATAAATGATCTTTGTGCACAGAGATGACTTTCCCCTTTGTTGGAGACGAGGACACACTGCCAGAAGTAGCAGATAGTCATCAATTGCATCCATGTTGCCTGAAACCTACAATTTGAGAATGTTGAAAGCAGAAAGGCACTGAGGAAAAATTCATACAAGGGTAAATGTAGATTTTTTTTTTTAAAAAAAAATTCCAATCAAAGAGGAATTCCAGCTTTTATAGTATGCCAAGCAGCATTCTGTATAGCAATGCAAGTTCCTGTGCCCATCATATCCAATTCTTAATGTCAGAACTAGACATTACAGAACACATGTGACTGCAATCAAAATCAGTAGACTCCTACAATGCCTACTATGTCAAGGCATGCATTGTACTAATCATTGCATTGCAAGTTTTCTCTGCCTTTGTATTAATGCCCCCCCTGCAAAGCAATTAAATGTCACTTCTATTCTGGTGACAACCATGCATGCTCCACAACTTCTAGTTCCAACAGTGCATAATCTTTGATTTAGTGACTCAATCAACAATTAAAAAGTTCTCACAATATTTAAACATTGTCACTTGCAGTGCTATATATACTGTAAGGTTCTCTAAAGATAATTTCTCATCCTGTTAAAATTAGCCAGTTCTCAAAACTGCCTCAGATACATTAAAAAGTGATTAATTTTAATTAAAAAGACCAAAATTGCCACTGACTTTTAAGATATCCTTCAGAGCTGTCAAGAAGAGACAGCTCCACAACCTAAAACAAAATTGCATTTTCGCTTTTGTCTTTGACAGATTTCAGCTTCCTTTAGTCTATGATGCCTGGTTTGAAGGCCATTATATCACCTTTATCAATAACAGTCATTGAAAAAGCTCTCTAAATCTATGATAAACTTCTGTATTGTGGTAATCAATTTCATTTCCTTTTGTTTCTGTTAAGACAAATACAGCACTGAGCCAGCTAAGTTATTTTAAACACTACTTCCAAAGGCATGTCTGATACTAAGAAGAAAGAAAAATTATAAAATTTGCTGAAAATTAACTAGATTTGAGCCCAGGACCTACTAAGACCAACAAAATTTGGGGGGTATAAGTGCTTGAAAGCTATCTTCATCAGAGCTCTGACTCTCAAAAGCTTACACCTTGAAAATCTTGTTGGTCTCTAAAGCGCTACTGATCTCAAAATTAGTTGTTCTACTGCAGACCAACGTGGCTACCCTCTAAAAACTGCTGGAAATTATTTTGTAACAACCTTACCTGCAAGCTCAACCAAGCCTCCAGTTAAAATCATCTCATGTAAAGTTGTTGCATACCCACAACTAGATTCCATGGGTGTGTTCAGCTTATGTTAGCGCCTTCCCTCAATACAGGTGTCACCACTATTGGAACAGATCCATGAAATCCAACCCTTTACTATTCTAGCTATTAGGGATGGGTGCAAACTTAAAAAAATCTGGTTTGGGATGGCCCCCGACACAAACAAGCCAAAAGGCCCTGAACCGAACCAGCAAGTTCGGTTCTTCCTTTCTCCTTATGGTGGCTCACCACAGCCAGGAGAAAGGGGGGGCTTGCCCAGGAAGAGTTAAATGGCAAGCAGTCATTTAATCTGTCCATTTCACTTCCCCCCACTTCGAAGCAGGGGGAGCGAAACCAACAGATTTAGTAGCTTAAAGCTATTTCAGCATAACAGCTGACAGGCAGACCCACCCAGCTGTTAGGTTTAAACGGATGGGAGCCATTTCAACATAACAGCAGGGTGGGTGCACTCATCAGCTGTTAGGATGAAATGGCTGGCAGCCATTACACTGGTTGTTTTTGCTTCTCCCTGCTTGGACATTGGTTTGGGGGCTCTGAATCGGCCTAAGTTCATGCTGAATTTTGGCTCATGAGCCAGTTCATGCCCATCCCTACTAGCTCTCAGAACACACCCCAGAACTAGTAGCAGCAAAACATATCACCAGAGGAAACACCTTTTAGCACTTGGGACTAGTTAGCTTCTAGTACCGGTAATGATATTATTTTTGAAAGAGAATTAGTTTAAGTGTGTGTATGTTTGTGGGAAGGGGGGATGTTATTTTTAAACACACAATTCCATTTTCTTTTTACCTGCCCTTTACAGAGATACCATAAAACATAGGACTTGTGTAGACATGAGTTGAGGGAAAATATATGCAGACTGCTAGTTACTGGGGATCTCAAAAACAGGGTAACCCAATGAATTGCAATAGAGTCTTAAATTATCTTCCCTCATTTTGCTACTGGCCAAAATATATGCTTACACTTGAAGATTCATATCCTTCTCTGGGATACTCATAATTATTTCTGAAGTAAAAAAATAATGCATACTTTTCTATTCTCCATTACGTTTTAATTAAATATTAATTTAATATTGTATGCACAAGGTATTTTTTTTAAAAAATGGGTATTCCCACATCTTTAAAATATCCATAACTTTTACATACATCTGCCACATACCAGCAATAAAAGTAAATTAGCACAAAATTTATCAATCTCTTTTATCAATCTATTCTGTGATCACATGTATCTTTCACACTTCTTTGAAAGAGAAAAATCTATATACTACATTTTGTCATATAATCTTTTGAGAAGCATACTGGGTGACTAACCCATGATCACTCAATGGATTTCATGGCTGAATGGGAACTGGAGCTTGGGTTTTCCTTGTCCATTGTGCATGTGTTTCTTCCCATGATTTTCTGATAATTGCCACCAAGATAAGCAAACTAAACTGAACTGTCTAACCTTCAATGTACATGCTAGTCACTCAAGCAGTGTACGGACATTTCAAGTGTATCATCCTTGTAACTATGATGTGAACGTTAGTACAACATTTTGATAAACCTGTGTGCTTTGTAATAAAAAGCTAAACTTACTAGATATATAGAAAACAGCCACAAATATTGGCTACATGGGATAATGGCAGTGCAGCAGTAAGTATATTTACATAATTCCAAACCCACTGAAGTGGGAAAGAACAGAGAAATTGAAATGGCTGTGGTGGGAGTATAAAGGTGGTCTACATAGTCTTCATCAGGTTAAAGGGCATAGCCTAGAAGGTCAAAGGACTGAGAACTATGCCAGGAAGTGATGCTTTACCCTGAGCCCTGGAAACCTTGCCAGTGTGGAGAACCAGGTTTGATTCCCCACTCCTCCAAATGAAACCTGCTGGGTGACCTTGGGCCAGTCACAGTTATCTCAGCCCCACCCACCTCACAAGGTAACTGTTGTGGGGAAAAGAAGGGAAGGCGATTGTAAGCCACTTTGAGACTCTTTAAGGCAGAGAAAAGCAGGGTATAAAAACCAACTCTTCTTCTTTTGGAATTGCCTCTCTGGGCTCTGAAATTGTCTGAGTCAGTAACTGTCTCCACATAGTCCCCACATAGTACTAATGACTATGATGTTTTGCCAAAGTTGTTTTTTATTTAAATGAAAATAGTTTAGATTCCTTATTTAATACACCTGACATGACCAGTGTTCCCTCTAAACTGAGTTTAGAGAACTCAATACAAAAACTCGTGGGTACTCAATGAAATTGCTGAGCAGTCGGGTTAGAACAGATAAAAGGAAGTACTTCTTCACCCAAAGAGTGATTAACATATGGAATTCACTGCCACAGGAGGTGGTGGTGGCTACAAGCATGGACAGCTTCAAGAGGGTATTAGGGATTTCCAGTTTTGGTGACTCACGGATCAGACACATCCCATCTGCTCCGATGTGGACGCGTTGAGTGACAGCGGACAGGAGGGGTTTCGGATGATTCTGCGACCCCCCTTTGGGGCCTTGTAGGGGGCTTCCTGCCTGGGGTGCAGGGGGGGTGCCTCTTCCAAGGCGACAGCCAAGGAATTGAGGATCCCTCATCCCAAGAGGTCATGCCACCGTGAAGCCATCATGGCAACTAGAGTGGGCTGCCGGATGGAGCGGGTAAGCGATCCAGTGTGAATATGCTCTTACTACAAGACAAGCGTAATAAACTGTGAGTCAAGCAATCCCCTTTTAAGCTGCTGAGCCAAGAATGAGTGTGGGACTATAATACGGGAGAACTAGTGGGTGAAGAGGAGCTGGATCCCCCCCCCCACGATAGCGGTTCCTAAGCG